CAAACGGGCTTCGCGCGCGCGCAAATCGAAATCGTTCGATCGCCCTTGCACGCGTGCCGTCGCGAGAATATCCCGCACAAAATGGGACGGAATGCACGCGCGCGCGTCGTCGCGCGCGCATGCCGAAATCCTCCAAAAACAGTCAGTGTCGAAAAGATGTCACAATCGAGTGCACCAAAAACATACAAAACCACAGGGTTTCGCAACACGGATTTTCAACAAAGCGTGCGCGCGCGCGCTCTTGCATCGTCGTCGTCGTCGTCGCCGTCCTCCCTCCTCCCTCGTCGTCGTCGTCGTCCTCTGTCGTTCCTCGTCGTCGTCGTCGTCCTCTTTGGCGTCGTCGTCGCTTCCATCGTCGTTGTCGCCGTGGTCGTCCTTCCTCTTCCCTCGTCGTCGTCGTCGTCCGTCGTCGGCGTCTCGTCGTCGTCCCTCCTATTTCGTCGCCGCCCTCGTTGCCGTCGTCTTCCCTCCTCCCTCGTCGTTGTCGTCGTCGGCGTCGCCGTCCTCCCTCCTTCGTCGTCGTTCGCGTCGTCGCCGTCCTCCCTCCTCCCTCGTCGCTGTCGTCGTTGTCGCCGTCGTCGTCCTCCCTGTCGGCGTCGGCGACATCCTCGTCGTCGTCGAAATCGTCGGAGACGTCGTCGGTGTCGTCGTAGTCGTCGTCAGCGTAGTCGTCGGCGTCGTCGTCGCTGTTGTTGTCGGCGTCGGTGTCGTTGCCAAGTGCCATTTGGTACCCACCGTCACGGTCTTAAGAAGTCTTGCGACCAAGTTGCGGGTGGGAGGGTGGGATGTTTGCACGAGCAGTGGAGAGGACAGCAGTCAAAATGGATTGCACCACCTAGGTTGTACTGCATAGATTGCAGTACATAGGTTGCACCGCGCAGATTGCACCACATCGATTGTACTGCATATACTGCATTACATAAATTGCATCGCATAAATTGCACCACGTAGATTGCACCACGTCGACTGCATTACATACGTTGCACCGTGCATATTGCATCACGTAGACTGCGCCGCATAGATTGCACCGCGTAGATTGTAGTACATAGGTTGCACCGCGCAGATTGAACCACATAGCTTGCACCGCATAGACTGCAATAACCTACTGTTTGGAGTCCACGCTGGCTAACATTGTTCTCCTGTCCATCATCTGTCTCCTCCTTCTCCCCTCCTCAGGCGCATCCGCCACAGCCCGCCCGACTCAGCCTTACGCTCCTCCAATTGCTCCTCCTCGTACTCGTCCTTCGCCTCCTCCTCATCCCCCTCCTCCTCCTCCTGATCATGTCCCTCCTGGCCTTGATCTTTTGGCCCTTGTTGTTGGGGTCATCGATCTCGATCTCCTTTCCAGCCTGGCCCTTCTTCACCGTGATGACCACCATAGGGCCTGCGGCAAGCACAGGGGGGAAGAGGGACAGGATGAGCAGGAGAGCAACTGGAACAAGGATAGCCAGGACTCGGATGTGAAGGGGGGAGGAGGAGGAAGAGGAGGAGGAGGAAGAGGAGGAGGAAGAGTAAACGGAGGCAGGGGAGGGGAAGGAGTGGGATGAACACGAGGGGGAGGAGCACGAGGGGGAGGAGCAAGAGTGAGAAGGGGAGAACAAGCAGATTCAGCGGAACGAGGAGACCGAGGATGACAAGCAGAACTGCAGGGAGCGGAGGCGGTGAAGACTTAAGCGGCGGCGGAGGCAGAAGAGGAGTGGGGAAATGAAGGGGGAAGACGACGGAGGAGAAGAGACGGCTGCGGCGGAGCCGAACGGGAAGAGGGAGGAGTTAGCGAGGGAGGACATCTCCTCAATGTACCTTGCTCGATCCCTAAGCAGATGCCTGTTGAGCCAGACTCGGTCAGCAGCGATGCTCAAGTACACCGTGCAACAAAAAACCTATGCAGAAAACAGCTGCGCACGAAATTGCGACGTCCACCAGGGAACTGTGCGCATTAGCTGAAGCATTGCGAGCTGGAACTGAAACAGTAAAATGCGAGAATAACACAACCAAGGGATTGTAAGACTGTGAAAACATGCAGGAGCCACTTGTCTTTACCGGCTCTGTGGAGGGCTGTAGTGACAGCAAACCTGATTCGGCTTTGAAAAGACGTTTACATGAAGGTCAACGTGCTCACCCCCACCCTACTCCCAAAAAACATACTTCTTCCCGCTGCTCCTGAACCATTGGGGAGGAGGGAGGGAGGACAGCAAGAGCAGAAAGGATAATCATCAGTACCCCTCATCGTCCGACTCCTCCCCCTCCTCCTCCTCCTCCTCCTCCCCCTCCTCCTCCTCCTCCTCCTCCTCCCCCTCCTCCTCCCCCTCTCCTCCTCCTCCTCCTCCTCCTCCTCCTCCTCCTCCTCCTCCTCCTCCTCCTCCTCCTCCTCCTCGTCCCCCTCCTCCTCCTCTCCCCCCATCATCCCCCCATCCCCCTCTCCCCCTCACGCTCCGGCGTCCCCCGCTCCTTTTCCTCGCCGATTCCTCTCCCGCAGCTCCCCCCACATCGAGGAGGCACAGAAGGCGCAGACGAGAAGACGGCGCGAAGGAGAAGAAAGGAGGCGAGGGGGAGGGGTATGAGAATGAGGCGGAGGAGGGGAGGGAGGCGGGAGGATGAGATGGACGAGGAGAAGAAGTAGGAGGAAGAGGGGGAGGATGAGGAGGAGGAGGAGGAAAAGGAGAAAGAGGAGGAGAGGAGGAGGAGGAGGAGGAGGAGCAGGAGGAGAAGGAGGAGGAGGGGGGGGGGGGAAGGGGGGGAGGGAGGGACGGAGGAAGGAAGAGGGAGGAGGGAGGGAGGAGGGAAAAGGGAGGAGGGAGGAGGGTGGGAGGATCGACGCCCATTGAAGGGGACAGAAAAGAAGGAGAGGTCCTGTGGTCCGCCACAGGCCCTAGGGGAGGCCCTTCGGAGAGGACCTCTTTGCACCACGGAGCGGTTTTGACGGGCAGCCCCGTGGGTCCGCGACAAGGCCCCCCCTGAGAAGAACGACCGCCACTCTGGCCACCTACGAAGTCGCGAGGCCGAGGTTCCTAGCCTCGGCCTCGAAAAATTCTGGAGCCAGTCTGCCCAGCAAAGGTGCTGCCTGGACTCCGTCACGGGGCCCACCTGGGCCGCGGCTGCACTGGAGGTCCGCGCGGATCCAAGAAATCCGCGAGGAGCGCCAAAAGTGTAAGTGTACGGCATGTTGGCATTCTTCTTGCTCGAAACCTGACAGGTCTGTCGAGCACGCCCTCCAAAAGCTTACGAGCCGAGCCCCCTGGTGACCGCCACAGGCCACCTTTGAGCGGAAGACTGGGGTGCGTTCAGCCTGCAAAAAAAGCAGCCCTGCTCTTCTTGCCCCTCCAGACGGGCCGCCCGCGGCCCCGCGCACGCTGGATCGAGCCCCCTTCTCGCGTCTGGAGCCACTGTCGCGTGGTCTCCGCTGCTGCCACATGGGTTTCAGGCCAAGCCCCTGTTGACAGCCCTTTGCGTTGCCCACCCAAACGCCCACAGCGTCCACAGGAGAACGCTTTGAAGACGCAAGCCTGAACCAACGTTTTTCGCCGCACGCAACTTTGAACACACACACACACACACACGCACTATCCAACGTTTGCTGATACTCGCACACCACAAGCGCGCCCTCGCTAAAGACACTTCGTCGTCATCGCACCTACGCCGATCGTCTGACCCCGACGACGGCGATGGAACCAGGTACTGGGCAACGTCGCCACAACGACGCGGCGTTCACATCAGAGCCAGCTTAGCACGGCAAGACGCGCCACGCGCCATCCCACCACGCAGGCTATATGCAGGCTCTATATCTAGAGCCAGCGGCTAGATTCCCGCAGCTCTGTCGACGCCAAAGTTGGCGCGACAAGGGGGATCCAACAACGGGCGCAACCCGAGACGACGCAGAACGGGGATGCCCCCATCGAGGGCACGTGTCCCAGCGAGGCCGCTGGACGATCCGATACCACCCCATAGGAGGCCGTACTCGCGCCAGCGAACCCAGATCCACCAAACCGCTCGCGCGCCCCCCCCCCCGCCCAAATTTGCACAAGCAGGTGCGCACACGCCCAACCGCAACCCAGCGCGCCCAAGTCACGCGAGCACACCCCATTACGCCAAGGGGTAACACCCAAAACACAGCCATCCTCACCTCAAATCACCCACGCACGAGTACACGCGCAGACGTGGCTAGTTGAATGCGTAGCTAGATCGACGCATCAGGAAGGGCAGGCGGACTTCCCGCAAGGATTTCACATAGTAGGCGGACTTCCCGACAAGGGATGGCAATGGGGCAGTCGGACCTCCCGAAGGGATGATTGGAAAAAGGGCAAGGCGGAGAATCCTTAGGAAGGGCATCTATCAAGGCCAGGTGGGATGACACTGCAGCTATCTGTCATATTTCTCGCTCGCCCACTGCACAGCCAACCATCACGGGCGATGCCGTGACGACGTCACCAACATCCCACGAAAAAAAGGTGCTACTCGAGCTGACCGTGAATCGCGCTGAATGGTGTTGCACGTGCGTGGGGGGGAGGGTCTGGCCCAACTTACGTCAGCCACAGATGCCCTACACTGCAATCGGGCGCCCCAGGCTCGGACCCTGGAGCTCAAACCCTTAGGGGCTCGGACCTTAGGCATAACGAGTGTTTGGGGAATGCCCCATCATGGGGCCCACGGTGTTCGATACTAGGGTTGGGGATGGGGCACCTGGAGTATTTCTGGGTTGGGTTTGGGGGCGCGCGCGGCTGTGCTGAAACATTGGCCGTCGCTTCCGAAGCCCCCCATCCCTTCCTCATCCCCCTCATCCCCCCCCCCCCCCCCACCACCCCACCCCACCACCACCACCCCACCCACCCCCCCGCCCCCCCCCCCCCCCCCCCCCACCCCACCCCCACCCCCCACCCCACCCTCGAACCCCCTTCCAAAGTCACAGCGCGCCTCGTCGACTACCAATGCTATTCTGCGGCGACCCCAGTCCTCGACCACCCGAGGAGTTCATATGGAGCCCTGGGGGCCGACTGAGAGACCTGCTAAACAAAATCTGAAAAGCCCTTCCTGCGCTCGACCCACATCGAAGCCTGAAGCGGGACCCAACGCGCAGCGGGCAACGCAGAGGCCGCCTTGAACACCTCTGCATCCACGGTCTTGGCGACCTCAGCGTTGAGGAAAGGGACGTGCAGATAGCGAAGCCAACTGGGATCAATATACTGATTCCTGGGGCCTGGATGGTAGAAGACTGGCTGCACACAGAAAACGCCGGGCACGAACAGCACTGAGTCCTTTGGAAGGTCACGCACGCAGCATGCTTGGACTTCAAGAAGCCCTCGCCAGAGGAGCTCTTCAAGAAGGTCTGGATGTCCGTTAAGAAAACCTCCTGGTTGAGGACCTCGGCAACGTCGTGCGCCAACGCGAACATGCTCCCATTCAAGGGGGGCATGAAGCATGCGAAAGCTGGCAGTGGCACGGCCATCGCGCCCAAGCGCAACGCATTGCGGACAATGCAGCACAGGTGGGGCCCCAGGCCGGGGAGAAACTCCAGGTGCTCACCGCGCTCGCTCTTGGAGTCCACGTTCGCTTGAGCCCCCAACCAAATATCACGGTTCGCTGCCAAATTTTCGTTCAGCCTGCTGCAACGCTCATCGATGGGGCCGCCAATGTCAACCAGCACATCTTGGAAGCAGGCGAACGGGGTCTTCCAACCGAAGAGCCTGGACGGATTGAACGCGCTCATGTTCGCGTCTATGGCGATCCCGCAGCTGGAGATGGGCTGCAAGCGGTAGGTACTGGAATCACCCTCTTCGTCAGCAACCATGGTCGTCTGAGCTTTCGCCCGGGCCTGCGCGATCAAGGGGGCGACGTGCTTCGCCAGCTGCGCGTCGAACACCCCAGACGCATTCAGAGAGCCAGCAACCTTCAAGGTCGCCCACAAGAACAACTCATCCCATCCTCTCTCCACCACCTGCCTTCCCTTCCAGTCCGCCCCCTTGCTCAATCCTCCTCCAGTCCCGTCCTCCTCAAACATCCTCCACTTTCGTTGCGTCTCAGACGTCTCAAAGTTTCAAGGGCCCCTAAGACTGGGGCGAGCAAGTGGGCGCTGTTGCTGGACCCACACCTTCTGAGACTGGTGGCGGTCCTGCAGGTAGGTCTTCCGCTTGGTGGTCTGGATTTCCTTGTCGATCAATTCCAAGGACTGCGCGAGCTCCGTTGCGTCTGCCCAGAGAGAGACCGGATCCACCCTCATGGAATCCAGCTCCGCATTGCACGAGCCACCTCCAGTTGGCCCAGCCCGCTCAGCTCTCAAGCCAAGCTGCTTCGCCTGCTTCTGGATGTTCGCGAACTTATCCACACGGTCGTCAAGTTACGTGGCAAGTCGGGGTAATCCTTGTGCCTATCTGCCAGCCGCGTCAAGCGCGCATACGTGGTGGCCTTACCCTCGAAGCCCTTCGCGATCTCCTTCACCGCCTCCTGGAGCGGGAGACCACGCGGCGGCCGCCGCCGCTGCTGGGAGCAGGAGCGCGCGGCCCTTCGACCGAGCAGCTCGCCGCCCCAGAACTCGCAGCACGGGGAAGTCTCGGCGCCCTCATATTCCCGGTCGTCGCCCTCATCGCCGATCGGGGTGTTCTCCACGACCCCGCGCTTCGACTCGGCGCCCGCCTCGTGCTTGACGTACTCGTTGCCCTCAGCGAGGACGACTTGTTGGTTCTTCTTGTTGCGCTTCGGATTCGCATCGAACTCACCGTCGAAGCGCTCGTCGGCCTCCTCCTTGGACAGGCCTTCCCAGAACCCCATGAAGCCGCGGTAGCGAACCCTGGTGAGCCAGACGTCCTCGCACCCGCTGAGGCCCCCGTCGATTGACATGTTGGACTCCTGCTGCTTGTGGGTCGTCTTGAAGTCGTGGATGGCGGCCTTGCGAGTGTCCTTGTCCAAGTAGGGCAAGTGCGTGGCGCGCCACTTCTCGGGGTCACGGTTCATGTCGGCCTGGTCGTTGAGAGCCGCAGGAGTGCCCATGGCGGCGCGCCTGCGGGGGCGCACGGCGAGCATGCACTGGCGGCGCAGCGGCTTGCCGAACCAGCACTCACAGAGGTCGCCGCCCCCTTGGCACAAGAAGCAGCCGAGGAACTCCATGCCCGACCCAGACCCTGGCGGCCCAGGAGGCACTGGAGATGGCCTCTTCGACACAGTCTTGCGAGGTGCCTCTGCGGGCGCGTTGACCTCCGACGGGGCGCCCATCTCGCCCTCGCTGCGGCCCATCTCTACTGCGCGCGTGCTCGAGGCCAGCGGAAGGCCAAACAAAAGAAAGGGCGTGGCTAGGCTCGGCTTCAACAAAGCTGAGGAGACCGATAAGCGCGGCGACGCCATGGGGGCCCCGAGAGCGAGAAGACCGAGGACAGCGCAGCACGCATCGTTGAACTCATTTTTGAGCCAATCCCACAGCTTGACCAAAGAGGAACTTACACAGGCTCATGCAGGGTCAATCCTCTTGGGTGCTTCTACTGGGACCTTGGGAACCATCGCATGAACTTCGCCTGCGCGCCAGAAGTAACCTCCGTACAACAACTCCTCCTGCTCCTCCACCTCCTGTCCTCCTCATGTTCCCATCCTCCTCCCCCTCTTCCTCCCTTCTCCTGCTCCTCCTCATCCTCCTCCTAACCCTACCCTACGCGTGCTCCTACTCCTACTTCCACGCCGATTCCTAAAATCTACTCCTACTCTTACTCCTACCCATACTCAGCCGGGTATTTATCTACTATACTCAATATGAATACTACTCCCCCTCTTCCCCTGATGACGCCTAGGGAGCATTTGACCCACCCACCCACCCCGCGCACAGTTTTGTGCACACACAGGTTTCCCTGGAGTTGGGTATTTGCCTGCATTTGCGTCCAAAATGCTGCTCTCGCTGAGGCGCCGGCTTCATTTTCGGGCCCCGCTCGTTCCGAATCGCGCCCCCGCTGCAGCGCTGGCACCATTTCCGCCGGCGCCCGGGCTGCACGCCCGAGCCAGCGCCCGGGCCGGGTCCGGAGCCGCTTCCGGCCGGCGCCGGAAAATCGAGTCCGAGGCGGCGCCGAAAATAAACCATTCCAATACACATTTCTCTTTTCAAAAAAAGCTGAATTCCTGATTCTGGAACCCGGGAAGCCTCCTGGGCCGATTCCGGTGTGCTTCCGCTCGTTCCGAATCGTGTTCCCGCTGCAGCGCTGGCGTCATTTCCGCGCTTCCGCTCGTTTCGACTCGTGCTTCTGCTGCAGCGCTGGCGTCATTTCCCGCGCCATGCCACGGCATGCAATGCAATGCTAGGTTGATACTACGCTTCGCGGTGCTCTTCTACGCCATGCCATGCCGTGCTCTACAATGCATCGCGTACCCTTTCGGGATCATTGCCCTGCTCGACATCCGACTGTGCGAATAGAGAGGGGATCTGCGCCATGGCAAGGGATGGGAGGGAGGGGTAGGATGTCAGATATGACGCGAGCGCACCTATCTTGCACCCCCCACCTCGCCCCCCCCCCCCTTCCCCGCTGCATCCTGCGATTGCTCTTGGTGCCAAGGTTTTTCCACCGACGAATGGATCGAAACAAGCGTCGCTTCTAGGGGGCCGCTTCGCACTTCCTTTTTGGACACGCACGGTTGGCATCTCCCCGCCCCCACCCCCGCCCTGCCCCCACCACCCCCCCTTCCCCCTCGCCCCAGCGGGGGCCGCCAACTCCTAGAGAGCCCGCGCGTCTCGAGTCTGGCGGAAGAGAACGCGCGCGAGCACCTCATCCAGCCACTCAACAGCTGCGGGCGCCGCGCCTTCGCAGTCGCAGGGGGGGGCGTCTCCAGAGACGCGCTTTCCCTGGGCCCCTCTTGGGAACGATTTGCGGCCATGGGGCCCCGTTCGACTCAAACGAAATTGGGATAGAAGGTGACCGTCTGGGCGCGCTTGTTCCCGACCTAGGCTCTGCCTAGAAAGGTTCTTACACTATTTGCTTAAAGGGGCCGGGCAGTGGAGCGCGCCCCAGGCGCCCCCCCCGGCATCCGCCCCGCGGCCCCCCCAGCCGCGCCCCCTTAGCTTAGCGTTGCTCATCTCATCTTAGCTTAGCCTAGCTTAACTTATCATAGCTCAGCTTAGCTTAGCCTAGCCTAGCCTAGCCTAGCCTAGCTTAGCTTAGTTTTAGCTTTAGCTTTAGCTTTAGCTTTAGCTTTAGCTTTAGCTTTAGCTTTAGCTTTAGCTTTAGCTTTAGCTGTAGCTTTAGCTTTTAGTTTAGCTTAGCCTAGCCTAGCCTAGCCTAGCTCAGCTCAGCTTAGCTTAGCTCAGTTTAGCTCAACTTAGCTCAGCGCAGCATCAGCATATCATAGCATAGCATACCATGGCATAGCATAGCATATCACAGTGCAGCAAAGCATAGCGCAGCATAGCAGAGCATAGCACAGCATAGCATAGCATAGCATAGACAAGCATGGCATGGCATGGCACAGCATAGCATAGCATAGCTTAGCACAGCACGGCGCAGCATTAGCATAGCACTGCACAGCATATCATAGCATTGCAAAGCGCAGCATAGCATAGCATAGCAAAGCGTAGCATAGCGCAGCATAGCATAGTGCGTGCGTGCGTGTGTCTGTGCGCAGGCAAAGCAAAAACAACATCAAGCAAAAGCAAAAGCAAAAGCAAAAGCAAAGCAAACGCAACAGCAAAAGCAACAGCAAAAGCAAAGGCAAGGCAATGCAAAGCAAAAGCAAAAGCAAAACCAATGCGAAAGTGTAGATGTAGATGTAGATGTAGATGTAGGTGTATATGTGAATGTAGGTGTACATGTAGATGCAGATGTAGGTGTAGATGTAGGTGTAGATGTAGGTGTAGATGTAAATGTAGATGTGAGTCTCGCTGTTGATGTTCATGTAGATGGATTGCAGGTGTAGATGTTACTTTTGCTATCGGTGTAGATGTATACGCTGCTTTCCTAGATGCCCCAACTCCTAGGTAGGGTCGCACTGGAATGTGTTTTTCATCGCCCTCGCGCGGCCTAGCACGAGAAGCCCAATCCTCCCTCGGGCAGGCGGCATCTGCCAGGAACGGCATCCCCGTTCTGACATTCTCGATGTGCCATGCGATGCCCTTCTTTTCCCGCGGGCGAAAGTAGCCGCACCCCCCCCCCCCCCCCCCCCCCCCCCCCCCCCCCCCATGGAGGAGCAGAAGCTCTTTCGCCTCGGGGGAACAAGAGGCACAGTGCAGCACGCATTGGGGCCCTTGGGGGACGGCGGGGCTTCGCGCCGAATGACCAGTCACTGTCGGACGTGCTGTGCCCCTCAGCGTTCTGAAGATTCTCGATCGCCGCGCCGTTCTCTCGCGCCCTCTCGTCGCCCCTGACCAGAGCAACGATAGCGGAGACAGCAATATTCTGCAACTGCGTCCTCATGGCGCGAACCCTCTCTATCATAAGCATGTTGGCCATGCGGGTGAGCTTCAACACCTTAGACATCTTCCTCACGCGGCGTTTCGCTGGCTTCGTCAGCTGCGAAACCCACTTGGCCTCCTCGGGCGGCATCGGGGCCCGACGCGCCGAGGCAGGTGGGGGGATGGCCGGTTTGAGCTCTGACCTACGGAACGGTTCGGCAAGGCGTTTCATGTTTTCGGCCTTCGGGGGCCCACGCAAAGCTCCTAACTGCCCCAGGGGGGCGGCCCATGCGGCACTCACACGCGAACCAAATCCGAAAACCAAACTTGACCATGCGACCTCTCAGAGGTCGGTATTAAGAAAGTTGCTTGAGCGTCAGTGTTGTCGGAACTCGCTTTGTGGTATTGACGCGGCTTGGTGCGGCATTGACACGGCTCTGCGTGGCATTGACAATTCTTGGTGTGGTATTGGCACGGCTGTGTGGTATTGACAGTTCTTGGTGTGGTATTGACACGGTTTTGGGTGGCATTGACAATTCCTGGTGTGGTACTGACACGGTTTGGCGTGGTATTGACACGGTTTGGTGTGGTAGTGACACGGTTTGGTGTGGTATTGACACGGTTTGGCGTGGCATTGACGCGGTCTCGGTTCGCCTCTTGGGAGCCGGTTTTGAAGTTACTTGACGAGGTTTTTGCTCGCTCTCGGGGGGGCCTACGCGGCGCTCTGGAGCCTTGGGGGGGGGGCCAACGGCGGCTGCAACAAGTCAATGAGCGATCGCGTCTCGCGGCTGAAACTCGCGCCGCCCCCCCCCCCCCCCCCCCCCAGCCAGCAAAGGACGAGCGCCTCGAGGGCCAATGGCCGCCCTCCAAGGCCCCCCCCCACCGCACGCGCGGATCAGCCCCCCCCCCCCCCCCTTCTGCAGTGGAAAAAAAAAAAAAAAAGAGAGAGAGAGAGAGAGAGAGAGAGAGAGAGAAAGAGAGAGAGAGAGAGAGAGAGAGAGAGAGAGAGAACAAAAAAAAAAAAAAAAAGGCGGGGGCCCACTGGCCAGCCCAGGAAACTGCGACCCTCCACTGGGACCTTCCGTGGAGCGAGGGGGCGCGATCTACCGAACGGAGAAGGAGTGGAGCAGGGGGGGGGATTGGGATGAGAAGGACGAAGATGACGACGCTGAGAACGCACGAATGGGGGAGCCAAGGGAGAGGGCGACGAAGACGACAAGGCCATGAGAGACGACGCGCTACGAGGGCCCCCATGAGGCGAGGGCGAGTCTTGGAAACACGGGGGGGGGGGGGGGGGGGGATTGGGGCCCCATCGTCCCCGAGAGACTCTCATTTCCCCACGTTCACCAGCTGTCTCTGCACGCACGCACATCCGCAACTGTTGGGTAGTGAGCCCCGTGCTCGTTGCGGGCGCACTCGCCACCACGTCGGAACCAACGACCCAAGTAGTAATAATAGTTGCGAACTCCAAACTCGTCCAGCCACAATGCGTCGGATCGAAACCTGCCGCGGCCCTCGTGGAACGTACGAGTGACCCGCCAGCCCGTGTACATCGTGCCCTTCCTATAATGGTTCTCTTGTCTGAGCTCGCCGATGTCGGGCAGGGGCGGGAGTGGCGGCGCCGGCGCCTCGCCCCCTCCAGCGTCGACACCTGGGGGGGGTGCACTCCAGTAGGGCGCCCGCTGAAACATAGTGAAACATAATGAAGATGTGGACGAGATGCTGGGGCGCATCTAGGAGCCAACGTGACGATCCGAACGAGATAGACGCGGCGTTTCACCTGCTGGTAGAGCGCTGCGGCCCTAGGTCTGTCGCCGCGCATCGCATCTGGATGGGCCGGGGGGGGGGCGCGAAACAATCCCGAGGCTGCGCGGCGCATTCACCCTGGGAAAACAACGCCAGTTCACCTCGTCCACCCGCGCGACCCTCGCCCCTTATCTCCCCCAGGGGGTGATGAATAATAATGGCTTCAGGTTCGCAGCATCGCTCCTCGATGTCAGCTCGCCCTCGCATATCCATCCACCATTCCCATCCTGCACTGCGCGCGCCCCCCCCC